GAGGGGGTTGGGGACCCTGCTCAAATGAGCTAACATTCTAGAGGCTATAAGGCAGCTCTCCAGGCTCTGATGTGAAAGGCAGGGCTGCCATCAGAAATGTCGGGGCCAATTACACAGCTCCTGGCCCCTGAGATCCACCACAAGTGTGCCCACATGGCTAGCCCCAGGGTCCACCTACAGGGGTGGCCTCAAGACCACCTACAGGCAAGGCCCAGGGGGCACAGTCGCTGGGTACCGGCAGGAGAGGAGCACACAACACAGCATGTAGCATGGCCAAGGGGATGAGAGATCCTAAAGGCTAAGAGTCAATAAAGGGACATAAAGGTTCAGTGGGAGACCACAAAGGGATAGGGAGGGAATCTTTAAAGCAACAGAGATGGTGAGAGACCATCAAGGGACTGGGGGAGACCGCAAAGGGACAAGGGGAACAAAGAGGCACACAGAGGACTGAGGTGGACAAAGAGTCACACAGAATGCTGTGGGAGGGGAAGAGGCACACAGAGGGGCTGGGGGGACAAAGAGACAAACGGTGGGGCTGCGGTGGGACAAAGAGTCATACAATTGGGTTGGGGAGACACAGAAAGGGGCTAAGGGGAGCAAAGAGACACACAGAAGGGATGGGGTACAAAGAGACACGCAGAGGGGCTGGGAGACAAAGAAACACACAGGGGCTGGGGGAGAAAAAGACGCACAGATGATCGGGGGAGTAAGAGACCCACAGAGGGTCAAGTCAAGACGTGATGAAGAGTACAACAGGAATGTTTTATTATGGCCAGATGGGACACTTTTATACACAGACCCCCAACAACTCCATTATTTGGGTCTAAATTTTGCAATTTAGTTTTCAAATGATGTAAATACACTATTTTGTGATGAGCCCCATTCGTGTCCACCTTGCCCAGTAATAAAAAACACCATACGTTTGCCCATTAATAAACAGGCACACTTACTCTGGTATTTATTAATGGGCATACTTACTAAGATATTTAATAATGAGTAAACGTAATGTGGTACCTGGCTTGGCATATGTTTAATAGGCACACTGACTAATATGTTCTGCGGGGTAAAGTGACACTGTTCTGTGCATGCACTTATTACTCCTATAATTTTTTTTTAAATATATTTTTGCTTGTGGTGTGCAGCGGAATTCTGGAAACAGCTTTGGTGTGCCTTGGGTGAGAAACAGTTGAGGAGCACTGGTCTAGAGCAGTCATCTCAAACTCCGGCCCCTCCAGATGTTCCTGAACTACAGCTCCCATGATCATCTGTCCATCTATTGCATCCACAGAATTCTGGGAGTTGTAGGCCAACAATTACTGGTAGTGGGCAGAAAGCAGAGATGCCTGGCATAGAGGAAATGTCCCAAGACACTGTATGTTGTGCCAGTGAGAGGCATGGGCAATAACAACATTTGTATTAACAGTTTATTCTTAATGCTTTGTATAAACATATTACGGACGTGGGTTTTGTTACAGAGAAAAAAATCAGCCGGTGCTCAGCTTAGACACTCCAATATCTTCTAGTAATGCAGTCATCACCACTGAGATGGCAGACGTTGTCACTGGACAGACAAATACAATATTCCAGATGGTTTTTTTAAAAGCGTAATGACTCTTAAAAAACCACTAATGTCTCTAAAGTTAATATTTGCCTTCAGTCTTAAATTTTATTCTGCTACGCTGGAGGACAACTCATAATAAAACTGAGTCGCCTCTTGGTAACAAGTCTTAATTTAGGAAAGATATCTCATTATGTTAAGCACCGGCCATCTGTCTGCTGGTGGTTAGGAGATCGTAAGGACGCCTCTCACAGCAACCGTTCAAACACCAGTGACCTCATCTCACTTTACTTTCACTAGGAACACAGAAAATTTCCTGTTATCGCTAAATAATGTGATAATACCACACAAAGCCTTGTCATACGTAGATAAACTGCTTAAACGGACCTAGGACTCTGTATTTTAAGAGTAAGGTAAACATCGTACCGAGTCTATTTTGTTTCATTTATAAAAACACACTTTCTTCACCCACATGACTCTGAAAGGTGTATGTCAGGTATCTATAGATAGTTATGTATATCCCGATATTTGTCCTATTGTTTACATTTCACAGTATTGTGATGAAGAAAAAAGTGTGACAATCACTCTTCACAATCACGTTCGGCCTCCTTCACCATCCCGAGTTGTGCAAACTGTATGCACACACCACATACACAACTTGATAGAATTGCTCATGGCAGATTAAAGGACCACTATAGTGCCAGGAAAACATACTCGTTTTCCTGGCACTATAGTGCCCTGAGGGTGCCCCCACCCACCCCAGCTCTGGAAAGGGGAAAGGGGAAAGGGGTTAAAACTTACCATTTTCCAGCGCTGGGTGGGGAGCTCTCCTCCTCCGATACTCCTCCTCTCCGCCCATTCGGCTGAATGCGCACGCGCGGCAAGAGCTGCGCGCACATTCAGCCGGTCGCGTAGGAAAGCATTTACAATGCTTTCCTTTGGACGCTTGCGTGCTCTCACTGTGATTTTCACAGTGAGAATCACGTGAGCGCCTCTAGCGGCTGTCAATGAGGCAGCCGCTAGAGGCTTTGGAGGAAGGCTTAACCCATTCATAAGCATCAGAGAAACTGCTATGTTTATAAAAAAAATGGGTTAACCCTAGCTGGACCTGGCACCCAGACCACTTCATTAAGTTGAAGTGGTCTGGGTGCCTAGAGTGGTCCTTTAAGGTAATATAAAAAATGTGCCCTGCAATGGTTGCAAACCACAATGCAAGTACAGCTTAATGTCGTTATTCTGGTGACTATAGTCAGTCCCTGCAGGCATTTTCATGTAAACGCTGCCTTTTCAGAAAATGGCACTGCTTACAATGCTCCATAGGAACACCTCGAGTGGCAGTCACTCAGATGACCACTAGAGGTGCCTCCTTGATCAGTGCTGCACTGACTCCCCATAGAGATGCCCTGAATTAATGCATCTTTTATGAGAAGATGTAGACAGATGCAGCCAGCGTTTTGCTTAGCATGCGCAGTAGCCTCCCAATGCTTTCCTATGGAAAAGCATTGGATTTGCTGAGATCATAAAGTTTGATGATCTCGGCCAATGAGGCAGAACCAGCCCGACAGACCTGGTGGCGCTGGGGGAAAAAAAGGTAAGGTTTACACCTTCTAAAGGAGTACAAGGGGGGCTGGCTACGTAAATGGCAGTTTCATCACTATAGTGTCAGGAATACATGTTTGTACGCCTGACACTACATTGCTCCTTTAAAATAGTCAATAGACATAGACAATGCACATTTTGCTTTCCTGCATGTACTCCGGTAGGCAACCATCAGCAGTCCAGATGTTGTGGACTACCTCTCCTATAATGCTGGCAAAGCATTGTGGGAGATAGACTCCACAAAATCTGGAGTGCCATACGTTTCTTACCCTTGTCCTGGGCTCTCTCACTTTACCAGGGGGAAAGCAGCCTTCGGTGCTCCCGCTGTTGCGGACTAAATCTCCTGATTCTTTGCCGGCATGACTGCTGGGAGAGGTAGTCCACACCTTCTGTAGCGCTGAAGGTTGCCCACTCCTGGATCCAATGACTCCTATAAACCTGCTGGATTTTACCCATCCACCACTCAGTCTTTATAAAGTTATTTTAGTCATTTTACTTTAGGAAAAAGCATTCACATGAGGGAAACCAATTACTTCATCGTACTCTGAAGATACACTAGTTTGAAGCCCAACTATAAATTTGGTATGTCCACACTATAGTTTCAGAAGAAAGTGTTTTATATGGTTAGAATTACATTTGGGTCAGTAGCTTGTTTTTAATTTTTCACGGTATGAGATTGGTGATTTGTCTGTAGAAGTCTCTAGCTTTAATCAGATTTTTGGGATGTGTAATTGCAAAGCTAACTTTAACTCTTGATAGGAGAGCCTTGAGCAATGCAATGTAAATAAGTGGTGGTCATGGTAGCACTCTCATATCGGAGATCCAGCCTGTGGTATTGGGAGGTTATACGTTTTGCAATACATCTTTAGCATTAGGCATGTTATCCTTTATTCATTAGTTAGAGGTTTTTGGTTTCTTTTACCCTTTCCCCCAGATCGCCTCGGTTTATGTAGTCATTTGTATTATACCCAATCACTACTACGGTTAGTGTTACAGAGATTCGATAGAAAACGTACTTACCTCAAGTATCAGAATATCAAGACAGATTAATATTTGACCCCCAGTGAGCATCTACACTAAATAGCATTTTTTGTAATGCTTTTCTGTGTTACTTTTCTAAGGACCAATTGTGGTTTATATGATCAGTTATTTAAACTTTGTGTTAATATAGACATATATCCTCCGTTATTCACTCCACAGACAGATCTAATGAGACTCCATAGGTCTCTATTTTCTTTTGTTAGGTGATGGGTTTGTTTTTACATATGAGGTCTTGAATACTATGGATTTCAATAAAGTTTTCATCCAATGGTTGTAAATGTACTTATTTTTTTTGGAACTTATTTCCATTTTCCCTCTTATAGTAAGGGTTCTTTGGAATTAGTATATCTTCAATGTAGATGAATCGGTTGTAACCCCCCCCCCCCCCAGTTGTATGAAATAATGATATATGTATACAAGACATACTCTAGACTAGTAGGTGATCACTCTCCCACTGAAACTGGGCTCTGCCTACTTTGTTCTTGAGAGGTTTTGCTAGACTCAACTACAGATAGTGCTATATGCGTAGCAATACCACATTTTAATAAGTATTGGAGGACCCAATATTAGACAGCTCAAGTATTAAGTCCAAAGGAAGTATTTGGCATCCAGTACTCAGCGTGAAGAAATCTGCGTAACAGAGACCACAGAACTATTGTAAGAATAGACTGAATTCTACAGCTCTAGGTTATTCGGCAATAAGTGCCAAGTTACGGAGTAAGTGTAACCCGAGATGCAGGGTTATGTGAGAAGATGCTGTATAGTCTGTGTACAGGCCCATTCACAAGATAACCACCACATATAAAATGTATAATTTTTAAATCTTTTATTAAGAAAACAAAAGTTCCCTGAAAATAGGGTCAAAAATTGCAGTAAAAAATATAAAGAAACTTTAAACATAATTATACAAAATAATACAGTAACAAGTTACAAATATGTCCTCGGCACAGGGCATACATTCTCCAAGGAAATGTGTTTAAGCAGTGCTGAATTACAGTACATTTACAGAAAGAAAATAAAAAAATAAAAAGTTTAAGTGCATTCTCTGCAGAGAACTCAAAATACTTGGGAAAAGGCATCAGAAAACCATTTAGGTCAAGATATTGCATTAAAAACGCTTAGAAATTGTTGCAAGACAAAGCCATTTCTAGAAGTCCCAAATATAGCTTTACAGCAGCAACATGAGACCAGAGTGCATTGACAATATATGGCTTTAATCGCAAGACACTTTTTTAGAAAAAGCCCTTTTAAATCACAAGTTTTTAAACTGTTTTGGACCTCTGCTGACAGAAACTGTGGTCTCTTGGCGACAGAGGTCTCTAGTCTCCCTTTTTTATAAAAATTCTTTGGCGAGTATTCTGTGAACGAATTCCCTGAGCGGTGAGGATTTTGATCCTTAAAAATGCAAAGAGCTCAATTTGAGAAGTTCACTTCGATTTACCCACGGATAAAGTATAGATAGAAAATGTGAATGCTTGCAGCCAAAGCGTTGGCTTTTGGAAAGACTTTAAAGTTGGTAGCTATCAAAACTGTAGTGGTTGCATTCTATTGCCATAAATAAAACAAACAAACATTACAAAATAAGTGCGGAACAAACATTAATACTGCATTTAGCAATACAAAAAGCAGCAGTTCGTACATAGAAAGTCATAGTCTTGACATGCTTGTCTATTAATAGTCCTACTGAATGTATGCGATAAGAGCAGGCCTTGGCTTGTCTAAGCAAGTTGGGAAATATATGCATTTAAACTGCTTTATACTCCTTGCTAGCCATCTTGGTTGGGAGAAAACCCACATTAACAGGCATATTTAACTTGTTGGAATGCAGTTTGGAGTGTTTTATAAACGAGAATAACACAAGTAATAAAAAGCCAGATGAAAAGGTTAAGCTTGCCTCTTACGCTATTGAAATATTCACGACTATACGAAAGTATAAAATGTACAAAGTGTTCTTGGCGTTACAAAAAAATCAGAATTATACCAGATTTTTGAGTGATAGAAAATAGCACATTTCTCTTTAAAAAAAAAAAACAAAAAAAAAAAACGACTTTAGGAGTCCACTCATCTACTTTGCACCCACTCGTATCCCAGTGGTAGGTGAAATGGGCAAGCCCCATCTTAGTTTGCATTGGCACCCTTGAACAATTAGTATCTTTGGATGGCGTGAGATACAGTCAAGTGATTTTGCATTGTGTTCAACCTCGTATGTCCCTTCTCCCGGGAATCTGCATCAAAGGCTACAAAATGACCTTTTTGCAGTGCTTTGTGGAAGGTCATGTGAGGACACATTTCAGAACTCGAGAATAAGCCAGACGACTGATTCACATTCTGCTTAATGCACGCAGGTATTTTTGTTGGCATCAACCTGTGATAAGAGGAAATTTTTAGTAAGTTGCCAAAAAAAATTAAAAATAAAATAGGTTGCATATATGATCAGGCAAGTAATCAAAAAGTAGCTTGAGAAACTCACCTCTGTGTAGGTTGGAGGAGGCATGTACTTGAACTCTGGAGCGTACATGAAGATAGGGCTTTCACAGATGTAGTCCAGCTCATCCAAGAGAGGTGTAGTGGGGCTCTCAAGTCTGTGGTCTTCAGGAACTATGTCCAAATAGCAAGGAGGTGCTGTAAACGGAAGAGAGGACCCAAATTAGAATAAGAGAGAATCTAGATAGAGTCTAGAAGTAGTATTTTTTTGAGAATTCAATAAAATCCAATAATTCTCACCTTCTGGCGTTCCTGGGATGTTCAACTCAACCCAACTCATTTCAGAACTTGTTTGGCTAGCCATGCTGGAGGATCGACTGCTGAATCCAGAAGAGCTGCTGCCAATCACAAGAGGCAGATCCAGGATCACCTTCTTAGCTCCTGGAACACTGACGTAGACCTATAAAAAAAAAAATTAAAAAATTAAAATTTGCACAGGTTAGTTATGTGGGTTTAGGATTTGAGGACAATCAACTATCTAGTTTTAGCGTGAATGATTAGATTTCTGGAATCAGACATTTGTGTACATGCCAAAATCACTGTGCAAGTCTTTGGGAATACAAAAAAAAAAAAAAAACAAACACAACCCAAGTGTGAAATGCATAGGAGAGCTAACAAGGATGAAAGATTAAATATTAATGCTTTTGTAGTGGTACATGCCTTTCTAGAGGTTTAAAATACTATTATATATATTCATAACTTACCAGTAATGAATATTCAACTCTCAGAATATTGCATCCAAGGATGGAAGGCTTTATTTTGGGGACCCGGATGCTCTTTCCTCGCCAAGAATCGGTCATGCCAGAGATGATGTGGTTTCCTCTCACCCTGCAGAGTTTCTGAGTGAAGACTTTGGTAAGACCGTTGGCCAGATATGTATGTTTGGCTATGATGGCCGCTTTAGGGACTGCGATACGTGAGCAGGTGTTCTCAAAATCAGCAGAGATACAAATTTCATCTCCTGTAATGATAAACACCAGTAAGATTAAGAACAGTCTCACTTTCAATTAAGACCATTAATGTACAAATATTCTGTTTCTAAACCAGTTACACAGTATTTAGCATTTAAAAAAAAAATTAAAAATGTAAAAAAAATTTTTAAAGAGATTACGCAAAAACTTTACATTTCATAAAATCAGGTTAAGTGATACCCAAAGAACAGCTTACCTTCACAGAATCCTTTGCGATTGATGCTAGCAGACATAGAGATGTGTCCATCAGGAAAGAAGAGACAAGTCATCTTCTTGTGTTTTTTTCCAGAAACTGGAGACTGTCCAAAACAATGAAAACCAGTTATTTTGCATTGCTTATTTACAGCTGCAAATAGTCAATAGTTACTAGATTAGCTACCGTGCTGACCTTCTGACCCCTAGAGTTAATCTGTAACCTCAATTACATCCACTTACATGGTCTAGTAGTGATCTAGACCTTGTGTCTGTTTACATGTCAAACCAATAAAGATGATGTATACTTAACAGAGCTGCAGTCTGAAGGACAATAAGTAACCCTTCCTACAATTAATGCTACAGGACATTGTTCTGATTACTAACAAGGTAAAGAATAAGACATTGTAGTTTACGCGGCTCAGTTAACAGAGACAATATAGAAGTAACATAAAATTTACCGTCAAATCTGGAGTATTAACATCCACAGAATCCACTACTTCAAATGTTTTCTTGGCTTCCTGAGAAGGATGGGACGGCCGATCCAAGTAAGCCTTCACCCAGTACTCCACAGAACCATACTTTCCCTTGAACGTGGTGCCCAAAGGCCTGGAGAAAATGAATAGCCATTAGACTATAATCACGAAAACCCAAAGAAATACATGTAACGGAATGTTTGTGATAAAGGATGAATCAGAGACTAACGTACCCTTGAGGCAACTCGAATCCAAACTTGTACACGTATCGGTTTCCAGGTCTCAGAATTACAGAGCCATCTGAATCTATAAATTATAAAAATACAGAAGAAAAATAAGTTTAGAGGCTTCAGTACAAATAATTCAGCAAAACTCTAGTCAATCGAAAGTTACGGACTTTTTGGACAGTGAAGATGACCAGCACTGCTGCAATTTAACAGTAAGAAGCTATGTTGGCTCACAACATATGCCAGAGACCGTTAATCCCCGGATGGCAGTACAGTAACTCCATCAAATATGCCAGTGCAGCACTAGAGTGCCCTGCCAAGGCCTCTGATCATGCCATGCTCTGAATACATAGTATCAAATACAGTACTGATCTAATGAAGCTGGATTCTAAGACATGCCCTGCTCTCAAACTGTACTATCACCAATTTTATTACAGTAAGCAGTGCAAGGCTTGACCACTGCAATGCATAAATTGCTATATTACAAGTTTACACCTTCACAACAAAAAGATTCTATGCAACCATAACCACTACTGTTTAAAAATGCTCAGCTGCTAAAAGGAAGTGTCAGTTTCATTGTTTTGATCTCACAATTTTTAAACCACAAAGTGCAGCTGATGAGCCATAAATACAGACTTTGCTTTAGTTTTCACATGGCAGTAACCACTTCTTGAGGTTTTTAAACTTCCTGCCCTGTCCCATGCTAGAGAGTTAAAGGGACTACAACCACTTCAATAGAGTTTTTAAAGGTCCCACAAACCCACCCCCCAACCACAAACTCCCAGCTGATGTTCTCACCTGTAGGCTGGTCCTCCATCTGCAAGGTGTCCTCATATCTCAGGTACTCCATCTCCTGCTTGCAGTGCTGAGATCCTGAGGACCACACCACCTTGGCCACTCCACAGGCCAGGATCCTGACTGCTGTCACCCTGGTCACCTCAGCCACCTCCACCTGGACCGTGCCAGCCACCTTCTCCCCTCCACAATACACCTTGTCAGGCTCAGAGAAGCTCAGCACAAAGCTCTTGATTTTCTTGAAGACCACCATGGTGATGATAAATGGTATCTGCTCCTCTCAATGGAGAAATAATAATAAAAAAGAATAAACAATGACTTCTTCCACAAACTGCAGGAAGAGAGCTGCTAGAAGCCACCTATTGTGCTTTAACTCAGCCTCTCCTCTATTGTTTGATGGCAGAGCTGCTGTGTCCTCCCCTCTCAGTGAGCTCTAACGTTTGTAAACAAGTGCCGGAAGAGCTGCTTATATATTGGCCAACGAATCCACGCCCACCGCCCGTACTCCACGCCCACAACTTTGCCATTGATGTCTTGCATGTTCACCTCGTGCACATGGCTCCCATTGGCTGGGAGCGCGCCGTCGTAAGGGAGGCCGGCCAATCGGCGGCCTCGCGGCAGCGCGTGGACACGGCGTGGCTATGGGGCTCGCGGCTCCGTTCCTTTGAGTTGTTTGTGTGACTGGGGAAATGAGGGCGGGGTCAGAGTAGCAGAAGCCAAAAATGGTGACACAATGATATTGTGTGTCTGGCTGCGTGAGGTGTTTATTGCAGCATGAAAAGCAAAACATCTCCATAAATACATAGACCCCCACGGTGTATAGTGAATAAACATCACATTGTAAATCCATTGATTACTATAATGGTTAAAAAAATATTACCTCAGGAAAACTGCTCAAAACTGACAGAAAACACAGAGAAACTAGTCATTGTCTGAAAATACACAAATTGTAACACAAATGGCAAGTGATTGCTGGTTTAAATAATAAAAGCCCCCCTTTCTCTCCACAATGGTATATAGAGAATAAACATCATATTGTAAATTACTATAATGGCAAAAATATTACCTCAGGAAAACTGCTTAAAACTGACAGAAAACACAGAGAAACTAGTCATTGTCTGAAAATTATAATAAAATGGTGTATAGAGAATAAACATCACACTGTGAATCCATTAATTACAATAATGGTAAATATATTACCTCAGGAAAACTGCTCAAAACTGACAAAAAAACACAGAGAAACTAGTCATTGTCTGAAAATACACAAATTGTAACACAAATGGCCAGTGATTGCTGGTTTAGATAATAAAAGCCCCCCTTTCTCTCCACAATGGAGTATAGAGAATAAAAACTCCACATTGTAATTCATTATTTCAAATAATGGTAAAAATAAATTACCTCAGGAAAATGTTCAGAACTGACAAAAAAAAACAAAAAAAAACCAAGATAGTGTGCATTTAAAAATACATACATTTTAACTAAAATGGCAAGATTGCTGGTTTAAAATTAGGCATTTTAATAATAATCCTCCCAATATCCTCAATTAGAACAACAAGTTAAAGAAAATAAAATTGAGTGATTTTAATAATAGAAACATAAAAAGAAAGGGTTAATTATATTAAATGTCACCCATTTCTACAAACATGGCACTTATTTAAAGGATTGAATGACAAGGTTCAATAATATCCCCATACAATAAATTAATAAATGTGTTTTTGGCAATACTGAGTGATATTAGCAGAAATATTTCAACATAAGAGTTAATTTTCTGTAATGTATTCAGTTTACAATAAAACATGATAAGGGATTAAATGAAAATGTTTTTAACAATATCCCTTTCCTCCAAAAAGACAACTACAGGCAAATCTGAGGGATACTGACAAAAACATGCCAAGAAAAGGTTAAATTTCACCAATTTAGAAAAATAAGGCAAGTTATGGCAGGGCTGATTGATTTAGAAATATACTATTTCACCCCTAAAAAAATAAAATTAAAAAATAAATCAAGTCAAAACTTGATCACGTTGACAGATTTCACAAAAATTGCGCAATTTCTAAAAAAAAAAAAATTCCAAAAATGAGACGTGATAACAGAAAGCATTATGGGTAACAAAAAAAGTAAACGCTGCAAAATTAAAATGTCCCCATGTAATAAATACGGTCATCAAATTGCAGATATAAATGCAAAAGAAAAGTTTATTTTATTGGTTTCCAACGCAAAAGTATTTAGTTAATTGTGTATAGAAACAGGAAAATGGACATCCGTTATATAGTGTAAATCCCCCCTCACACCTCTAAAACTGCATTTTCTTTTATTTAAAATAATTCTAACAGTGACATTGTCTGAACAGATTATGGCTTGCTTCCCTCAAGGAACATTGTCTGCATTTTGCCAACTTAAGCCTAGTGATCATTGGCAGATTTTTAATATTTATATTGTGTCTGAAATCCTGCAAAATGACCACTACACACAGGCTTAATACTAAATAAGGTGATTTTATCATGCTTAACAACAAAAAATACATGGAAATAGTCGTTTTGGTTGTAGTTAATACATAGAAACTGTTAAAATTGAGATCTATAAAAATAAAAAATATAAACCCTGCATAACTGTTTAACACAAAATGCGTCGGTAAATTACATTAATATAGCCTAGAGCACAGCTTCAATTGTTTTGTTATTTTACTATTTATTGTTATGAATTCCCAGTTCTTCCCCCTTATCAACGCAGCCTTGCAGATCACATTTATTTTGTTTTATTACGGTGTATATGAACTATAATAGCCCTAATTTCTTTATGTTTATATGCAATCCGATTCCTGTAAATTCATTGCTGCGGATGTTTTGTGTTTGTGTTTTTTTTAGTTTTTTTTAGCAGTCATAAAAAATTTTTCTAATCATAACTGGAATCACCATAAAGCAATTAATAGGTTGTTCAAAACAAAACATATCAATTTCGCCATCAGCAAGAAACGTAATCTTTTGAAACTAGAGAAATTGCAAGCTGTGCATAAAGTCCATTTGGCTAGGCTGTATTTTGCACAAAGCCATTTTTTGGTAGTAAAACGCGTTGAGGCTTAATAAACAAACACTTATGAATATTAATTCTACAGGGGCTTATTAAGTACACAAGTGTATATACGCATTGCAAATTCTCATACGAGGTCTGTCCAGGAAAATTACGTCCATTGTTAATATAACACAGGGGTTCTCAACCCAGTCCTCAGGACCCCCTACCAGTCCAGGATTTGGGGATTACCTGGGTGTGTCTAAGGTGTTTAGAAAAAGGAAAAAAAAAAAAACCTTAGGTGTTTTTTTTTCTTTTTCTAAACACCTTAGACACACCCAGGTAATCCCTAAACCTTGGACTGGTAGGGGGTCCTTGAGGGCAAGGTTGAGAACCCCTGATATAACAAGAATGGTTTGCACGACATAGATGTAACCTGCCCGGCACGGAGAGTGGACTGGAATGTGCATGCGTAAACAATGACAACTACACTGTGCTATTCTTTTTTTTTCTGAAGGGACTTTTGAGACAAAATTATCTTTATATTTCATAGTCCCAAACAGATTTTGTCATACATTTCCTTGCCAGTAATGAATTCTAAGAGTTCAAAAGAATAGCTAGCAGTATCGCCAAAGGCCAATGCCAGTGATGAAGTGGAAAGAATTTGAAATTTCATTTAAATTTAGACCTATAAATTAAAAAAATATATATATATTAAACTTTGTACAACTGTTTAGCACAAAATGCGTCGGCAAAAGACATTAATATAGCTTAGAGCACAGCTTCAATTAATGAATTAGTAAGGATTCTGAATCACATTGCCAAAGAGCTATATTATAAGACAGGTTCTATATTTATTCAGCTCCCGGAACGGTCTTTTAAATGTATCATCATGCAATAAATAAGTGAAAATGAAACCTGTATCTCCTTTAGTAGCACAATGAGCAGCATTTCCCATAAAATGTGACTTGTAAAGAAGTTATGTGGGTTTTTCCATCGGTGTCACTAGGACCAATGGTGTGTATTTTGGTGGTTCGTGCCCACTGTCCAAGGTTAAGATTTACGATTGATGACTTGTGAATTCCACAGAAAGTTCCTTCCCATTCTAAACTCGCCTGTTAACAGATCTATCCTGACTGTCAGTATATATTTATACCATGTTATCTAATATCAGGCTATTCCCAAGCTACTAGTAAATTATTATGACAGGGAACGTGTAGGAGACAAGCAAGGACAAAATTGGCAACCTTCCCACATGTCTGAAAAACAAAAACACATCGACATATGTGTATGCATGCCTAACTTAATATATATTCAAAGAAAAGAACAACCTGTGTACATACATACTGTATACAAGCACACTACAGGCAATCCTGTAAAATAAATACTTTCTTCTGGGAAAATAATTTTCGTTGTCAGCTGAAAGGAAATTGTAACAGGACAGTTTTAAAGTGTATTGTATCTCCGTGTCCATTACTCCCAACAGTCCCAGATCTGACTCTAGATTATCTACACCAGAGAAAGTCTCCAAAAACCATAGTGTTAGCACATCATGAAACATGTTAAACCATAGTGTTAGCACCTCATGAAACATGTTTGTGGCCTTGCAAGACCATTGCTGAGGCCATATCTACTCATGCAAGAGAGGCATTACAGCACCTTGTGGGCCAGTAGAGTGTCACCAAACTGGCACATCCACATTTTAGGCAGGGCTTCAGTCACCTCAGCAGTGATGCTCATTGTGTTATGGACATCCCATCTCACCATCCTGCGTTTACACCTACCCATATTTGGGATCTATGCTCATATTTGTGCTGAGATTACAGGTCAAGTTGAATAGAGCTGGCCATTATCAATAAAGAATTGTGGAATGTATAGCAAAAGAAACGTTTTCCACCCAACCTGATTTAGTCCAAACACAGGCAGCCCTTTAGGGTACTTAATCAACAAATGATGAGCTTGAAAACGAACTATAGCACAGTCTAAAAGGCCAGCGTATTAGCTCATGTGTAGGGTTTAAGAATAAAAAAACAATTATTTTGTATTTCTAATAATTGGTACTGCCCGTTGCCTGGTGGCTATCGTCCGTTGATGATATATGGACTATTACACTTTGAAACCCTTTTCTGGTATACGTCAAACTGGTCACGAAAATGGCAATGGATTGACGTAAATAGTTGCTGCATTTTGTGTTCTGTAAACTAAGAGTTTGTTTGAAATTAAGTAATATAGGGCAGGAGAAATGTGCCACACATCCCAACCCTAATCCCACGTATATAAAAGGGTTGGTTTGGTGAATGTATACAAAAATGCAAAATTAAATTGTAAAACAAAAAGTATAACATGTATTCCTTCCTAGTCACTTGGCACAGAAAATTGTTTCTCCACATGTTTTCCAGTCAGTTCCTGTAACTTACACTGAAAAGGATGTTTTGTACAATATAATCTAATTTTTAAAGATGTTTTCAAAGCCTTTTATTAAAAAAAAATATAAAATGTTTTTTTGTAAAGTTGAGATTATTAACACTTCAGGTCTGGTGCACAACCAAAATAAGAGAAATTAGATTTTAAAGGCCATACTGTGGTTGGTGATTTACTGCTCATAAAAAATTATTAAGAATAAAAAAAACATGGAACAGTCCCTTTTTTTTAATTTTGTTTTTTTCCATTGTTCACCACGTGAAACATTTTAGGACATTCTTATCTAGATTATTGTTTATTTATAAGGTTAAATTAACTTGAAAGAGAAAGTATAAAAAGGAGATAACTAAATACCATCCTTCTTGGCCTATAAACATTACTGTGTAACTGATATCATAGTACTCGCTATCAAAGGAAATTGATGACAACCTTGAAAAAGCTAAACCAAACGATAAAATTCAAAACAAAATGAGTAATTGCTGGAAAGTTCAAAGTCCTGAATGGAAAATAACTGGCTAAGAAGGAAAGAGAAAGTGTTTATTGCCGGGAAAAGACAATCCATAGCGCACATGGACTGCGGGACTATATCGACTGCACACAGAATTTTCAGCTTTATTGGTTGTCGCCATGACACTATGAAACACCGCTGTTCTGCGATGTATAAACCTGTGTCATACTTCTAAAATGGTATAGCACCACAAATGGATCCATAAATCTATGATTATAATATATGTTTCTAATTGTAAATGGAAGCTTATTCTGATATAAATTAGAAGAGGCACATCAGGCATATGACATAGGATTCTGCTGTAAATTAAACTTTAAGAGGGTCCCCTATGATACGAGTGTTATTTTTCATCCCTCATGATAAAGGAGAGTTTGTCAGCAGTGTTTGTGTTTATTTATGTACCCTAACCATAATGTCTAAATACCTTACCTCCGGTTTCTAATCACAATTACAAATTCTTTACCTGTGACTCTACCCCCGTCATGGTCTTAATTGGATCATTTGATCATTTGGTTATGTAAGAATAATTATCAATAAGATGGATCGAATACTTAAAGTTACTAATACATTTTTGCAAATAAAACTGAATTTGTATGAATGGAATTTTTCTCCAATCCACACCCTTTGGTCAAACAATGGTCAGCGCGGTCAGCCAAGTACCAATACTGAGAGACAAGCTAAGTTCAGCGCGGTCAGCCAAGTACCAATACTGAGAGACAAGCTGAAGTCAAGATGGTCAGCGAAATACCAATATTGAGAGACAAGCGGAGGTCAGGACGATCAGTGAAATACAAGTCATTTTAGTGTAAAAGGACAGCAATATGTGAAGAGAACATTATTGCAAACTAGAACAGGATTAAGGTTGCTTAGGGTCCAATCAGACTGGGTTTCTGTGAGTAGAGGAGGATGAGAGCTATTGATAACAAAGGATTAAAATATTGCACCAATGGGTTCCTGGTCTTTCTTGTTCTCCCTTTTTTAGTGTGAAAGAGAGTAACATTGGTTGGCTGAATACCCTGGGATGTGTAGAATACATTCCATTTCAATTGGAGCGGTTTAATACTTCAGAAATGTCCATACCTTTCTGAAACATTACTTGCTATGTGTGGCGAAACCGGCCTCGCCACGTGTCCTTGGAGGGGGCTGCTTGCCCGCCTTTTGCCTTTGGACTATGGACCAGACTTTATGTGAATGTGTTAACCCAGATAGCTATGCCATGGAGCCCATTCGTGTAGTTAAAGACTTCGGCTCCATGGCAATTGAACTGTGTGAATAGGATCTGAGCGCTATTCGGTAGTTTTGTGCGCTCAGATCCCAGCTATCTGGGGATATGTGACATGTCTGTGTTTTATGTATAAAATGTGACTTTGTGTATTTTATAATATTTTAATGCTTTGTGCTCACCATGTGCATAATGGAGTCTTGTGTCTGTCCTGGGAGATAATTGAATTACTTCTCAATTCAATCTCCAGGATAGAAGACTCTGAAACTGGTTTGGGCCGGAAAGCCATGCTTCATTTAGTCACAAAGGACTTTCCCTTAACTTTTGAACCCCTGGTCTGATTCGTGCCATTTTTTAATATGTTGTTCCCCTGAATGGATTGATTATGAAAATGTATGTTTTATGTTTGTGACATGTATATTTTAGAAGTTATAAATATTGTGTAAAAACTGTATTCCTCTGCCGGTGATAATGAGATTACCCATTGTGTTCAGTAATCATATCACAGGCAGAGGGGAGGAGTTTGTGTGGGAGTGTCTGGGTGTATTGTACGGATTGATTGGTTGTTTTGTAACGCCCTGTGGGCTGTACTATGTTTGTGGATTGGGAATAAAAGAGACTGTATGTGACAGCACAGGGAGTTCCTGCTTAACCCTCAAAGTGAAGTGTCGTCTCATTATTGGGGGAAGGATTTATTGTATGCTGTTCCAGTTTGACTGCTAGGAGAGTAAATCTATTCGTATGGTTCCTATTCAACTGTCTACAGCATTCATATGCTTGAGAGGATTCAAATGCTTCTCCGGTTCGGTGGTTGTGGTGTCTGCTGCAGTGCTTGGAGTCCTCAGGGAGCGCTAGGAGCATCCTTTAACGGAGGTACCCAGTCGGGATGCCAGGTGATCCGTTACACTATGGAAGTGTTTCCTTAATCACTTAGACCAAATAATGGACAAATAAGCACTATAACAACATCGCATAATGAAATTGATAAAACTACACACGTGCACAATGCCTTAAAATGTGTCACAAAAAATGATTGATCAGTTACCATCGCTGGATTGCAATTTACTCCTGTTTGTGTGTTTTACGTCTGGCAAAACTTTGTTTGTGGAGCGTAAGGTATCCCCATTTATTATGCAGCCCAAGTCAAACGTGAGATGTTTTTTTATTTTTTATTCTGCTACTATAGGTTATACAGAGGTCAAGCATATATCTGTACAGTCTGATCTTACACGCAGAAGATACCCGATCCTGGCTCCTTCTATGAAATCGCATTCTTAGCCTAACACAAGGACAATATATGGTGCGTGTTACAATGAGCCAGGTACATCGTACAATATATTCTATTTGTCAGTCTTTCTTTTATTATAGCATTTGATTCACATTTAACAGAATAGAAAAAAGGAGTTAAATCATATAGACTTAAGACAAATGCATCAAGGTATAAAAGAGGAGACTCCTTAGCGAGGCTGCCACATTTTTATAATAGTAGGAAGGCAAGACATATTAGGCTAGATATTTATGAATGGATTGTTGTAGGATCAACATGCTACAGACATGGTAGATCAGGCTAGATCTTCATGAGTAAACTGCGATGGCATGTACATACTAAAAACAGAGTTAGGGTTACTGGATTCTAAGATCACTGGGTTCACCTCCTTGTGGATGGGTGTGTTTTACAGGAATCGGGCACTGGCTCCCCAAGATGGGTATGATGGGGAGTACTTTATTTTTGGGTGTGACTGTCGCAGCTGGTGGATGTTAGGGCCAGATAGATGTCTTGGGTATGTACCTATACTGGGCTGTCTCATAGCGGTAACTTGTAGTTTGTGTGAGAGCAGGCTGCTTCTAGTTGTATCAAGCGTGCAATATAAAAGATAAGTGGAGCTAGCTACAGCACATTGACAGGCAAAATAACCAAATTTAGATATAATGGTGCTTGCTGTGAGCCAAACTATGTGTAAGAATGTAGGTGTAAGTGGCATGCTATAAACAGTAGGTTAATCCAGCATATGGACCAGACCACCAGCTAAGTGCTTGTGGTGTAAAGTCCCGGATCAGCCTATGCCCCGACTTGGTGACTGGTTGAAGGGGTAGGGTGGCATCATGAGACAGAGTCCGAGCAAGTCCTCCCCATAGCCCCAGGCCGTCATGAGGGCCTGCATCCATGGACCACAAACTTGGCTGCTCAAATAGGAGGCAGAGTTCTTCCCTTGCAGGCGATGGCATTGGATCCCAATGGACAGTCGCCACCTGCGGCCTCAGATCTTCTGTATCGGTGGCCAATGCAATGGGAATACATCCCTGTTGGCCTTCAGCCCAGGTAGGCCCATCGTGGGAGGCTACAACATTTATGTGGAGGGAATGCTTAGAGGGGGCCCTCTCGTCTCCTGCTGCTCTTCCCTCCTCTTACTTTCCTCAACCGGAGCCTGTGACATCTTCAGGTGGGCTGATCGCTTGGCCCAGAAGCTGTCGAACGTCCCAGCCAGGAGCTACAGTATGTGCTCACATGCGCTCTGTACGGTCATGGCAGGGTGCTGTGCACAAGGCGATTTTTTTGTCCACCATCTTGAGGTGAGCTGCCTTGTCTGAAATCTGTGTCAGTGCGGGTGCTTGGGGGCTGCTGTAGTCAAAGGTGGTTTCCAGTGGGGACTGGGATAACCCTTGCCGGTCCGGGGGGAGAAGACAGCAAAGCGCCGGTTGGAGAAGTGGGAGAGTGGCCTCCTCGCCCCAGCTCAAGCTCAGATAGGCCTCGATTGGGATACTTTGATGCCGTACGGGGTCGTGTAAGGTATCCCTGTGTACACCGTCGGCAGCTTAGCAGGTTGGTTACCGATTAAGGTCGGTGTAAGCGTGTGGCCCGCAGTTAGCCCCGGTTTTCGGCAACAGATGCAGGAGCTCAGACAGAGCATGTCTGATCCAATCAGCAGGCAAGCTCTGCCCCCGTACAATGTATTCTAATCAACAAGTCTTGGAAACATATCAAAGAGAAAATAAGATAAATAGAAAAGTTGGTAAATCACTAAAAACAGTGTTCCAAATAATTGGGAGCAGGCAGCACGGGCATCCAAATCAGTAGTCTCTCTTCCTGTGACAATAGTAGTAAATAGCAGCAAGGGTGGATGTTGCGGCTCCTGATATAGGACACAATATGTGAAAAGCAAATGGAGCACAAGTACCAATAGTGTAGTATGTACCAACAGAAATACTAGAGGTAAAACAACAGATGGGCTTACAGTATGCAGAGTCAATAGTCAGCTCTACTTATTAGGCTTGAGCAGTACAATACCCACTTATGGATACTGGAGTGGAGGTCATAATGTGGTGGATTCTTGGAATATGAAAGACACAACAATAGATAGAAGTGCTCTATGGTGAAGTAAACTTTCAACCAAAGTGGAAATGACAATAGTAAATATTTCACTCACATATTAGTGAGCCTTAATTGGCTCTCTTGTATTGGATTGGAGTGGTACAATCCCTACTCTGGGATTCTTTTCAACTTTGGATGTATTCAGGAGACATATGCAAAAGAGAAACACAGAGACATGGAGACATGGAATTGCTCAATTCACAGGGTTCCGGTGGTATAGATCCCCACCACAGGATTTATATGAATCTTTGCAGTACAAAAACAGAAGGGCTCCAGGATAAAAAAATAAGTGGATGAAACGCGCTAGTGTTTTAATGTGGTATACTTTGTTTTCTATTGTTGTGTCTCATATTCCAAAGATCCACCACAGTAGTATGTCCATAAGTGGGAATCGTACTGCTCAAACTGACTGTTAGCTCTGCATAATGTAAGTACGTTTATTTTCACGTTGGTATATTCTACACTATTGGATCCCTTCTGTTTTTACAAATCATGTCCACCTTAGCTGCTAAAATTATTAGTTATTACAGGGATTGCACCTCATGTCTTTATAAGTGTTCCCTGTACTTACTGTATATCCGGAATAGTAAGACTACTGAAGGCATCTCTGAAAATGACAATGGTTTTGGTCTTTTAAGCTTGCACGTTATTTTTAAAGTTCTCGATTCAGTGTTGTGAATCTCTTAGAAATTATGGGTTCAGTGAAACAGACAGCCATTCTTACAAGACTGAGCTCCATGTACTAGTCTTACAATTATTGCAGACCTTCACGGACTCCTCTTCCAGAGAACCTTAATAGCCGACAGCAGCGCAGTTTGCTTCCTGTTTATTACAAACAGCAATGCATGGAATGTTTCTTAGAGACTAATGACCTAGAACATATCTTAAAGGAGAACCATCGACACAAAGGACATTACACCACTGATCAAAATAGTGAAAATCCCCTATAACTTGTATTAACCTTTGTTTCATGGGACACGCCATTTCTAAAAAAAATAAAAAAAAATTCTTAAATATACACAAAAGATTTAGCAATTGACACCACAGTCCATTTCTGTCCTGGCACAAGCATGGTACACATTGCATTGGAGGATAAACAAACATTTTTATAAGTGTGGAGCGGTCCTTTAAAGACACATTCTCTAACATTTTATTGAAATAAGTCCTTTGTAACCTTTACTGTGCCAGGTTGATGCCACCTACCCCTGGCAGTTAATAGTACTGTGCCAACGAGATAACTACAACATTAACAAAATTTGAATTTGCGATTTCAGCATCGTACGGCTAGAAACTCCCGAGCCTGACCTCACGCATTTGTAAACTGCAAAGTTCAACCATGCAAAAGCCATCGTCATTACCTATGGGACCTATGGATTCCATTGATTGTGGGGTTCAGAAGTACTGAATATCACGTATCATGCTTCACATGTTCCTTGGCCATACCAAGAAATATTGTGCCTCTCACAATATGAATATTGTACTGAGCAGCAAAAATAAATTACTAATAATGATATTAATAAATGCAATATAATATTGTAATGTGTGGGTCTGGAGCTTCAGCTCCAACAGCCTGTAGCAAAAGATCGAAATAAACCCACGTGTGCACCCTGTGCAGAGGCAGTAGTACAGAAATATTGCGGTCTGACCTTTGCTATTTAAAACTCGTTCGAGGTTATTTACAAAAGTGAAAATTCAAAGCGAATGTCAAATTTAATTCCAGAGCAGCCGAACTGAAAGTGGATTTTAATTATTCCAAGTCGGCTAATTTGACCTTGGATATTAAATAAATTTTAAATTCTCACTTTAGAAAATGACCCGGGTAAGAGTCCATGCAGTATTTCCAAGTCAAAAACGAAAAGCCGCGTACAGTGAGGGAAATGGTATTTGATCCCCTGCTGATTTTGAACGTTTGCCCGCTGACAAAGAAACGATCAGTCTATAATTTTAATAGTAAGTGTATTTTAACAGTGAGAGACAGAATAACAACAAAAAAATCCTGAAAAACGCATGTAAAAAAAAAAAGTTATAAATTGATTTGCATGTCAATGAGTCACTGTATAGGACTGCATAAAAATTATATTTTTTTTTTATTAGTTACAAAGGTTAAAACCACAGAGAATGTATAGAATAGAGCTCCGGTACTGCCAAACAAAAATCAGTACACCATATAAGCCAAAAAAATACAAGACACACATCCTTCTGCAACATCCTAGTGCAGGGGTGCCCAAACGGTAGATTCCCGGATATTGTGGAACTGCAACTACCATGATGCTTTGCCTGCCTTCGGAATGACAAAGCATTATGGAAGCTGTAGTTTTAAAAAATCCGGGGATCTACCTTTTGGGCACCCCTGTCCTAGAGCATTTTGTTGCCCTGCATTAATCTGGTGCGGTGCTTAAAGAAAATGGGTGACTATCATTTAATTAAGGGGAGCCAGTATCTAAATGGGATTACGTCAATAAATTCTATATAGTGCTTTAAAACCATATATTTACATCAAAATTAGATCCAGCAATAGGAATTACAAAAACCCAAAACAAGACGAACGCTCTCATTGGACATGCTTATACTGCCATCTGGTGGGGAGAGAGAAATACTACTTTTGAATAGTGATGAACTGTGAATGTTAAAGGGACATTAGGCACCACTAATATGGTTCAGTGCTGGAACCTTGTAATTATATATCGGTTGGTACTATTAAGACAGGGCCCAGACATTGGTCTCTCATGTCCATGTTACTAAGCTAAGCTTCCAAGAGCTATTCCTTAGTACTCCAAATGGGCAGCTGGCACATTAGTTGCCTCTAAAACCAGCTTAGTTGTTGTAAACTAGACATTTATCTCCACCAAATGACGCACAATTGCCTTACTTTGTAAAATATCGGGAGAGAAACCAATCTCGAACTTTTTCTCCAGACAAACAGAAAGCTGCCGTTATTCATACCCATAAATCATCCATTAGCCCCAGACAGCAAGAATCTGGATATAACGTGCTCACACTGGTATAAAACACCAGAAAAACTGGCTGCCTTCTCTTCGAAATGTGACAGTGTGCTGGAGATGTACAAGGGAGCTGGGCACTTTGCATCATATGTGGTGGTCCAACCCCCTCATACATCCCATTTGGAGAGAAATACCAGCAATTCTTTCTACGCTCACAGACATCCCTGTAATGTTTCCTCTGAGGTCTACTTGCACCGTTCCTTTCCTATTCAGATCACCAGCTACAGGAAAACAATGCTACCACACCTGGCCAATGCAACCCGTAGTCCTATCCCAGAGTTATTGGAAAAAGAGCAAAATGCCCAGTTATTGATTGGAATAATGGGGTAGAGGAGATTCGATTGAAACGCTGATCCAATCAGTTGCAGGCAGAAACCAAGTTTACTCAACTCACCTGGTCTTCTTGACTTCAGTGGTTGTCTTCCGGGTCCTTTAGCTGAATTGCCCACAGCTCACTAATCCACCATGACTTCTTTCCTGATATTGTCCCCATGAACATAAACAAAGCACATACACCAACGCTTAAGGTGGTTATCTACTTTTTAAGTTAATTGGAAATGTAAACCGGAAAGTAAAGGAGAAGAGATATGCAAAGAAGTAATTTCTAGCCATAAAATAAATTATCGTTTATTATTGTTTAACAATCCCCCTCCCCCCGCTCAATAACCTATCTGATGCTTTCCTCTCCATACCCATTTCCTGCTGCTCGTGAACTCTCTTTACAAGTGGGTCAGAGTGGACTTAACTGCTTCTTTGCTGAAACGTACTGCTGTGATTTGTTGAATTGGTTTGTAACGACTTGTTCCTAATGTTTTGTCACGCTCTACATGTGACCAAACGTGTGTTTGTGTGTGTATGTAATATATATATATATATACACACACACACACACACACACACACACACACATATATATATACATACATACACACACACACACACACACACACACATATATATTCTATCTACATTTTTTAAATTGATACTGCATATTTGCATTCAACTGTGATACATTCTCAATAAACGTTGAAGAATGAAAGAACTAAAAGATAAATGAAAATACATCAGATAACTGTTTTTTAACTGCTAAACCACTGGGATTTCATAAACATGGTAAATGCAAAATGTGAAAATGTTTACAACTTCTGCAATTGCACTAACAAGCAATTTAAAATCAAACATTTCACAAATTACAAATCTAAGAATGCAATCTATTTGTTACAATGTTACATGGATCGAGGTGCTGAAGCTTTATTTAAATTATTATTATTATTTTTTTTTTAACACACTACTCTTAGGTTTGCCACCTGACTGGTATTTTACCAGCACAGGCGGCATTTGAGGCTGCCTGGCCGGCGCCGATATTGCAGTAATACCGGCAATACAAATGCAGATATTTTTCTCAGTATAAACAGAGATTACGCTGCAATACCAGCACCGGCTAGTAGGGGTCACTGTGTGTGTGAAGAGAGGCAGGGATAGAAAGTTACAGCATCTCCCTCCTCACTGATTCGCGGGGGAGCAGTTACACAGCACAGAGAGTTCAGACAGCAGCTCCCAGCCTGCAGAGACAGACTACAGCTCAGGGAAGTGAGGGATGGGGGGGGGGAAGGCAGCAGGGTGACATGGGAACACTGAGACACTAGGAGATTAGGGGACACAGAAACATGGGGATGCTGTGAGACATTGGGACACAGAGTCTCCATGTTTCCCAGTGTCCCCATGTCTATATCCACAAGTGCCCCCATGTCTCCCAGTGTCCCCTAGTATCCTAGTAACACGGGACACACTAAGACATGGGGACACTAGGGGACACTGACACTGTGATACATAGGGACACTGATGCCAGGCTGGCCTTCCAATTCTTTGGACAGACATGCCAGCCTTTTGTGCATGTTCGCCCCTTTTGGCAGTTCTGGTCACGTGATCCGCATCAGTGGCCCACCCTTTTACCCCGCCCATCGACTTCCTGCTTCACTGGACACTGCTGTTAGGGGGTATGGATTTACTTGAAAGCATAAATGAGAGAGAGATTAGCATAGAGTATGTGTTTTCTTATAGCTGCATCCATTGAGTTTCCCTCCAACACCAAATCCATTAGATACATGACACTTGAGAGGTATGACTGTTTTAGTGTTTTTGGTCGATAAGATTCTGTAATTAGGCCCATCATAATTGTCAGCACCAGGCCCACTGTGCTCTTAATCTGCCCTGTGTGGATCCCAATATGTGGGGGGACATAAAAGGGGAGGAATTGTGGGATTTCAAGAGAATTCATTTGGAGATTTATTTTTTTTTGGACCATTGGGGATGCTGGCCTTAGTGAACCTGGAAAAATCAGATCTCAATTATGGAGTGCGGTTCTCTATTAAGTTGGATCCTCAAAAATTTAGCAAAATTATATCCGTAGGTAATTCATGTGTGAGTGCCATGGCTGCCTGTAGCTGTGATGTCCTAACAAAGTATAGGTGTACATTTAAATAAATAAAAAAACAAAACAAAAAAAAACTAGCAAACTCTACATGGAGTCCATATAGAGACACCCACCATTATTTTGGCTAAGCATTTTAAATGAAACATATTGTGAAAAAAAATAAATAAAAACTGGAGAAAGCTCCATCCAAAGACAGAGCCCCCTAACTGGTAGATAAACTACAGACAATAATACTCTCTAAATGGTGTCTTAAAGTAGTATGCTTAGATAAAGGTATAGAGAAGATTCCCAGAAATTATTACAATGTACTATATACAGTCTTTTTGTTCAGAATGGTCAAATGTACAAGGTGACAACGGCTAAATAAAGTTGTATAGTGGTAGACACCTGTATTAAAATAAGTAAGTAGTACACAGGGGCTTAAGAATAAAAGTAGACTGATACCAGTTTACTCAGATAATCCTGTAATTAGAGGAGGGGGATTTACAGTATCTGTAAAACAGTGAACCCTCCTCAATGAAACCAAGGTTCCTACTCACTGGTGGTAAACACATCTAAAGGGGTTTCAAAAAGGACCACGAACTACAGTAGTAGAAAAAAAAAGAAATTTTTTAAATTAAACACATTGCGGAAGTCCGCAAATTAAGTAGAATCAACTTGGTTAAAATGTTTTTAAGTAAACGGTCAATAGCATGCGGGTACAGACTATTATTCCCCTTGCTGTCCCTTCCTTCCTCACATTCCCCTGAATTTGTAATCCATTCATACTGTACTATAAAGTGAGAATAGAATTGGGACTAGGACAGAACTGACAGTGGGAGCTGGGATGGCAATTTTATGCCATGAACAAACCTATTCTAAAAATCTATCATTGTATGACATAATTAGTTTATCTCATTAAAACAGAGTGTATTGAACATCCCAGATATTGCTGAATAAATCTAAAAATGATCTGCAAGCCGCACTGGCAGTGAATAATGGGAGATGGAATCCATCAGCATCTAGTGGGGCACAGTTTGAGATACCCTGATCTATAGATAGAAAAGCACAAAGGGATCAGAAACACGAATGTAACAAATGTTTATTCCTGATCCTATAGTATCAAAAAGTAAATTAGGATGGCGCAATAATTATAGTAAATTATGGTGACTTTATACTTGTGTGACAACGATACGAATGCAGCAGCCTACTAGGAACCCCGATCATATAAATCCCCAGATTGTAAACCCCCCAGAAAAGTTCAAGATCAATTAGACCCAGATTAGATTAGATTAGAAATCATTTACCTGCTTTTTTATAGCCTGCAATGTGAGGCAACCGTCTCATTCAAAGATAACGTTTTTGAATAATACAATTGTCTCAAAGTGATGCATGTCCCTTTTACCAAAGTAGGAATGAATGTAAATTAAATTCTAACTTTGCCTTTTATGTTGTTTTTGTATTAAATGTTTTTGATAAATTCCAAAGTAATTAAGACAACTTAGAGAAGCAATTGAAAATCATAAAATTATATTATTTTATATTGTATACACATAAAACAATTTGCACAGAAAGTGAGTTAAAGAGGAGATTTGGAAATCCATCTGTTTTGTTCTTTAGACACAGTTTTCAAAAGTAAAAAGTCTTTATGGCAATATTTTTTAAAAAGTTTTGGATTTGCAATAATCTTGTCAATAGGACAGAATGAGATCAGAGAGGCGGCTGTATGCATGTTGAAATTGTTGCTCATTTGGTGGAAAAACAAAGTCAAACATTCTCAGTATAAATATTTGCAAGGTATGAACAATGTCAGACGGATGTGACAAGTGTGCACTCTATTTTAAAAGAAATAGATGGCATTTAGTTTCACGAATCTATCCAACAAAAAAGGATCAACTGTTAAGGAAAAGCCGCTCTGCTCTGTAAAGTGCTTTGTAGGATGAGAATCTGCATGTACCCAAATGGTCCTCAAATGGATTTAATAATGAGCACAAAAAAATCACTGCCATCTGGGGAGCTTATTGCAGATTTTGATTTGGAAAATTAAAGCCTTGTTAACGGATTTTTTTTAATTTCGAAAGGGATTTGAATATGTGGTTCGTCACAAATAGTACATGATATTCAGCAGTAATGAATCCACTGAAATGAGTTACAATGCCTTAAAGAACGTCTGCAATAAAATAACGATGGTTATTCCACAAAATAAGAGATAAAAATAACCAATTATGAAAGATAAGCTCAAACTATGCATTGGTGGTAGAAGGGCACTCCGCTTGGAGCCACAGGGTTCATTTAATTCAAATCACACATAACCAACTGGTGGATGGTTAACAGCAAGATGCTGCAGATATAGGTGTACAGCTTAGTGTGGATGTCCAACTATTGGACTACCACTCCCATAATGATCTGCCAATCCCTGGTACTACAGCAGAGTATTAAGTGCTAAAGTGACATATTTAAAGTTATCCCCTTGGATTCGATTCTTTTCTGATTTGGAAACCAGACCTCGAGGTGTCACTTCTACCTGCTGCCTGTAGCTTTTGCAGAATATTTCAGGATTGGCTGTAGATCTCTGATTGTCAAACAACAGGTGATCCTGTTGCCTTCCCCTTAAATAAAGAGGCTGAAATATTGACCTTTGCCCCCTTTCCTTTCGACTATCTCGAATTGGTTTAATAAAAAAATAAAAATAAAAAAAAAATATAGAGTATGATGGACAGCTAAAGTGTCTCACTTACATATATATATATATATTTTATATATATAAAAAAGCCAATATGATTACACAAAGTGCTCCAATCTGCACATATCCTCACAATAAGTATTGGTGGGATACAGATAACAGGGCCTTTCAACTAATAAACGTGTATATTGTCCTCAAGCAATAAATCGCATAAAATGTTTCCAAACATCATAGAAAAAGGCACCAGCTATCAATGATTATCTTACGCAAACGTTATCCCTGAAAGACAGATCCTAAAATGAATTCCTTTAGGTTCCGGCTACATTTTTTTGGCTAGAAACGGTTAGCTAGGTTTCATGAAATGTTCCAACGTGATGCATGACTCCACGTGCGTCTCCGTCACACCCCAATCAGGATCTTAGCGAGGTTAGGAACGTGGCGTGTCGTAGAAAAATAAGGTTTTGCCATGAGTCACAGGGTTTAAAGCTGGTGAGGATTGCACAGTGATATCACTGAACCTCTCTACGAATTCTTAAAAAGGCAGTTCTGTGGCGTCCCTGTAATCACCCATCATCTTCTTGGGTTACAGTCCTTCTCGTTCACATTGCTCTCACCACAAACATTCTTCTCTATCCTCTCGTGATTCCGTCAGAGAGAAATAAAGACATTTGAGTGAGCAATGGTAGGAAAGAATACTGGATGCCGTTTTATAAGCATCAAGTTATTATTCTGTACTGCAGTCGCCTATTTATTCAGCAAAGGACTGGAACATGTTGAGCTCAGAAAATTCCTCATTGTTGTAGCTTGACACCTCTTCTCCCAACATGGAAAGCATATCCTGTATAAAAAAAGGACATATTACAGCTGTATGGCATTCACATCAGCAAAGGTCTCATGGCCCAGTCATTCTTCATAAAAGTCTAATTTTTACGGTCTAAAGCCTGGTCTCTATATACAGACACACAATAACAGGGTTATTCGCTAAAGCAAGAATTCAAAATTCATATAAGAATCTCAAAATTGAAGCTAAAAATAAATCGAACTGCTTTACGTTCTGCTACTTGAAACGTGAACTTTTCTTTAAATTCCCCCTTTGGTAAATAACCACAGACACACAAAACAGTGCAACTATTCTAAATAAATTGGTCAGACAAGAAGAAAACTTTGTTATTGTGTTTATTGTTTTGACTTCTTAAAGATAACGCTGTGTGCGGAGATACTCAATTATTAGTGATATAACTTTTGGACTTGACCTCATAAAAGTGCTGTATAAAAAGAATTCAGGATTTAAAAAAAAAACAACAAAAAAAACACAATATTTATGAGGCCAAAAACAATAAAATGCATTAATGCATTGTGTCCCTTTAATACATGTATTTTCTTATATAAAATGAAGCCATCATGGCATTTATGAACAATCCTTGAGGCAAAACAGTTTAAAGAGCGGTGATTAAAATGGTAAATCACCAGTTGTTGCAGGAACTACAATTCCCATGATGCTTTGTCGGCATAAGGCTGGGGGATCCTACAATAGCTTGTATCTACCGGACAGGGGCGTGTGCGCGCACACACACACACACACGTCATGTTCTTACCGGAAAGGCCTCAGAATGGTTGGACTGCTGCTGGACACGAGGCTCTGCTGCGTTCTGTCCATGGTGAGAGCCCTGCCACTGGGGCCACACGCCAACCGCGTCAGCTGCCCGTGTCTGGAATTGGCGGGTCCGCCCCACCTCCGCTACTGTAAAAAAACCATCACATTTATCAAACAGACAGGCCAATAACTGGAAGGCTTTCTCTTGCTGCCATGGGTTTATGGGATGGGAGAAAAATGCACAAAACCACACAGACACAAAAATATCAAACTATTTTGCTCTCAGTCAGAGCAAATAGAGTACAATTTAATTTGTCTAATGAAATAGGCTATTGCACATCCACAGTTGGTCTGTTTACTGTAATTATGGTATCAGTGGAAATGTACAGCTACCCGGATTACAAGCTCTCCAACCTCCTTGTCTGTATATTGAAATGCTCTCTAATAACCTGGCCTACATCGAGAATCCTACTCACACAGGACGGTGGATTCCTGTGGATTGCAAGGAACAGAGGAGCGTGTGATGATATTACACTGGGGAGATGAATGTGATGGGAATTATTACAGAGGTCTAGGGATAAAATGACCAGTAGCTTCATTTTTATTTAAAGTAGAAGATCAAGAACACATACACACAGATTTACCAAAATTGTTGGCGCGGTTGGCTAGGTTGGGGTAGGCCGTGGCCGCAGGTGACGAAGTCGAACTCTGTGAGGACATTGGGCTGAAATTTGTAGGTGTGTTCTGGAAATTCCCTAAGCCAAACTGTGGAGACTGCGTCTTCGTCGTCTGTGGTGGTACCTGCTGGAGAGTAACAAAAGTAGAAAGGAGCTCAGATACATTCTGATATATATATATCCATCTATAAACAACCCCATCATCCCACTTAATCCATTTCATAAAATTAAACTGCTGGGAAGGCAAATTGGATAAATACAAGTTTTTTTTTATTAGGAACGAAAGAGAATGTTTAACGGTTACGGTGTACATGGGCTGTCACACACATACCTGTGCTGTAAATGTAGGGCGAGCACCAGAGCTCCAGTTTGTTCCAGTGACCTGTGTAGGGCTGGTATGCCGAGAGATTTGGGCCAGGATCTGTCCGGCGGACACCGGCTGCTGAATAATATTGACCGGAGGTGCCATCCCACCACTTCTGGAAAGGTTTAAAGGTGAGATTGAGATGTGTCCTATCATTTTATATCACAGGAGGGCAATGCAAGTCACTCACAGAAATACCACCATTATTTATGGTTACTGCGCAATCCACATTTTTACAAAGTTTCTAACAGTACCACTGCATCGTGTTTAAAAAGGCAGCTACTTTAATGTCTATCTAGTTCTCCTTATATTTGCACTGGCTTATAATTAGATACACAAGGGACGTTAGTAGACCATTGACCAAATATGTAATGGATACAAGTATGGTGGTACGCAAACAAGATATGCCAACATATTCACTCATCTATTCACGCAATGGCGTTTTCATAGCTTGGATTCCAACTCCTATTTCAGGGATGACCAATGTGTTCCCGGCAGAGTAACTCATCCCTAAATGTCTAATATTCAAACTATTTCTGCTTGCACGGTACAGAGGTAGATACCCCAATAATGTCTCCCGGTTAACAAAAACTAGACAGGAAAATGGAAACAAATTAAAAAAGAGGAGGAAAGACTGGAGTCAGACACAGGAAGACCAAAAGAAGAAGAAGAAGAAGAAGAAGAAGAAGAAGAAGAAGATGTAATTTGAGAAAATAAAATCCATTTAAATGAGAAGAGAGAAAGGAGAATCTGAAGGCTGTATGGAGATGTAAAACACAAATTGTTGGAGACAGGATCCATTACAGTAACATTACTACTGCAGGTTCCAAACTGTTCCTTCTGTTAGAATCCTGTACGTGTTTTACAAAATATGTACAGGACTCTATCTTGGCCCAGAAAGGCACGTAGAGGTCAGTGCACTTTAAACTCTGCAAACCTCTATCGCTCCCCCACATGGGTCTCACAGGCTTATTCAAGAACATGAGGATTTGAAGTCAATCCAAAGTGAATTTCAAATTCAAGGCAAAGTTAGCCAGGATGGAAACATTCCTTTCGCTTCCTTCATCACTAACCTGAAACTGTCCACTGGCCGAGGGGCAGGAGTGAAGGTAGTTGCTTGGGGGTA